TCTTTGAGGTGGACTTTGGCCTAGGGCCTTTTCGGGACTTCATTAACATTCCATGAGTTGTCCTGCGTTTCCCGGAATCATTGCCAGCATGGCCTCCATTTTAGATTTCACTCGATATTAGACCCGGATTTATCTAACTACACTGACTACCTAACTTTAAATCTGGCTTCATTCCCCCCTCTAAGTTGGGAACTCCTTACTGCTGTAAGGAAGGGGGGCGAAGAAGATCTTTCTGGCTTCTTCAGGCTGAAAAGGGACGGTGTGGGGCAAGCAGTTTGGAGTCCCCCTTTAAAAATCGGGTCTATCGAGTGGTCCATGATAGACGTCTGATTGAGAAGTAATAGGCTGGAGGGCCATTTGAGTGGTGGATGGTCTATAAGAGAAACAAGAATTCATTAGTACTGGAACCATATCGATGCAGCAGCAATAAATGCCATACCACAGGAATATGCCAATGAGTATGATGGCAAAGACAAAGACTAACAATGTTTTCCACCAGGAAGTACCAAGAACCAGGAGCTAAGATATTGTTTCCATGACAAAGTTGCTGAGGACATGGCTTCTATCTGAGCATGTAAATCTTTAAGGACATTTGTCACATTGCCAGAAATGTCAGGGATGTAAACACAACATTTAACGGTTACAGACGTTCTTTCCCTTAAGATATAGTTTAATAATTTAATGTCATCTGGTCTTGCAAAATCCTTTTACTAGTATGACCTCTGTGTCTAATAGAGAAATCTTTAATTCTGTTACTGAGGGCTGGATAACCATACTTGCAAACACTAAGCCTACCTGTGTAGGGTAGAAATAAAGGCCTTAAACTAAAAACTACTCTGGCAGTTCCTTTTGATAGTTATCAGGCATTCCTGTCTGAGAATCTCTTTTGTAGCCTCCAGTTTACTTAGTTTTGGAAGTTACATTTAACTATTATTATTATTTAAAATGTCCAGGAACAGCTGTGCTTTGGCTTTGACTGTCTTTGCTAAGTGTTTAAGATGAAGCAAGTCAAACTGACTTTTGTTTTTATCTATTGTTAACAGTCAGCTGAGCTTCCCTGGGAGTCCTCGGGAACTTCACAGCAGCTTCTCAGTTCTGCTAGTGCCATTGCGCTAGGATGGGTCCAGGCCTTGCTTGACCATGTGGCTTCCCTTGGAAGCATCAGGAATGTCTCCCTTTTGTGATGACCCTCCTCTTCACAGCAAATGCACTGATTGGCTTTCTGTCCTCCACTGGTCTCATTAATCTCCCTGATCGGGAGGTTATGTGGCCTATGTTTAAGCCTTAATCTGCAATGTGATGGTTTTTGGAGGTGAGTTTTTGGGAGGTAACTAGGATTATTTGAGGTCATAAGAATGGTACCCTCATGACTCATGAAGGCTGCCTAGTCTAGTTATTCTGTTATGGAAGCCTGAGCTGATGGAGACACAGGTCCAAGGCTCAACAACACACAGGCAGCAAGGCCCATGGCTCTGAGTAGGGAAGCGCTTGGTAGCTCTCAGGAGAAGCAGGAGGGTGGTTGATTTGCTCTCAGAATGTGAAAAACTGGAGGGAGGCAGGGGCCCCAGCAGGATAATGCAATTGTGGTATCTTTTCTGCAGGGGTCAACTGAACAGTTAAGGGGGCAGGGAGATAATGTGATCTGTTTCCCAATTTTAAGGGGTGGTTTTGGCTTGTTGTGGAGGAAGCAAGGGACATTGATTAGGAGGTGAGAGGATGGTGACTTGAATAGTGTGATACAGGTGGGAGTCTGAGACGTAGGATTTGCTGATGGAGGAGGGAGCAAAGGATGACTGCTAGATTTTTGGTGAACTTAGGTGAAGCCCTAGGACAGGAGCAAGAAGTAGGGTGTGTGTGTGTGTGTGTGTGTGTGTTCCTAGGTGAAATCAGACAATGAAGAAGCTTAGCTACAGGACTCTGGATTCAGGGAAGAAATCCATCCTGGAGGTCATGTTTGCAATTTATTAGTAACAGGGACTTCTGGGACATTCTTCAGTGACTTCTGTGTTGTGATGATGACTGTAGTATGGATGGAAGAAGTGAACTAAACACTTTAGATGCATGATCTCACTCAATCCCCACAATCCCCTGATATTTCAGCAGATTAATGAAACTGAGGCACAGAGAAGTGCGTTGTCATGATTCATTTTTGAGAAGTGCTTCATTGCAGGGTACTGGTGACAGCCTGTTCCCCAACATGACAGGCTGCCTACATATACTTTATGAACGAGGAATCCTATCTTCCTCAGCCTCAGCGCTGTGCACATTCCACTGCTGGGTCTCGTGATGGGAATCATGGTGGACATGAGCTCTGGGGACATGGTTTCGAGTCCAGAGTCTGTTCTATGAGATAGACGCTTTATTTAGGACAATGAACGTACAGAGTGCTCAGGATGTCATCCGGGTGCTTTTTTCTCATGCCTGCTGTCTTTGGTTTCTGTCTGTTCCTTAGCCAGTTACCAGGCAGCTTCTGCCAGCCTAACCCCTTCTAGCCAACTCTCATTTCCTGGCCGTGCCAGCCTGATTACTTCTAATTGTCTCTGACTGCTTCCAGCTGGGTCTTCTAGCTGGCGTTCTGTGGGAGCACACAGACAGCCCCTCAGCCATATGGAAGGAGATGGGGAAGGAGAAGAGGAAGACGGAAGCAGCTGGTCCCAGTCAACCGAGAGGCTCTGCAAGGCTCTGCGGCCCTCTCTGATTGGTCATGTTTTTTAAAGGGTTAACTCATCCAAGTTGGAGAATGGCCCTTCTTTGACAAATGATTATATTTATTGGTCCCCAAAGACAACCAACAACGTAACTAAAGATGCTCTTAGAGTTATTAGTAATGTCTCCCTCAGGATAGATGGGGTCTTGCTACCACGAGCAAGAAAACTTCACTTGAGAGTTAGTGAATGATTGTTTTCATTCATTCAACAAATATTGATTGAATAATGACCATGTCTCAGGCACTGTGATTTAGGCATTGTAGGGCAAATAAAAATAAAATCACACTTAGCCCCATGCCCTTAATTATTCTAAAAGTGAAGAAAGACATTCACAATAAATACTATGTGAGACACGAGAAGCAGATGAAATGCATGCTATGGAGTAAGAGAAGAAAAGGGTGATTAGTTTCTTGCAGCTCATTGGTTGGAGAGGAGAATACCTGTGCCAGGTGAGAATGGGTCAGAGACAGCAGACTGGTGGTGAGTATAGCATGGGTAAAGGTGTGGAAGTAGAGAAATCCAAACCTGCACGAAGATAGCTGGTATGTAATGCCCAGAAGATCCCAAAGGTGGAGAAAGCCAGAATTGAGTTTGGGCTAGTTCTAGTCAATCAGATATTTCCTGCATCTCTAATATTAGGGCAATGCAATGTTCTGTGTACCAATTCCGGAGTCATTCCTTATTAAACATGCCCATTTCGGAAATCAGGACCTGTAGTTCAAAATGCAGTGGCTAAGCCTAGGCAGAGTAGGATTTGGACTTCTCTTTGGCATCCATCCCAGTTGATGGAATTAGCAGTGAACTTGAATCAAACCCAAGCAGCAGGCTTGAAAAAGATTTAATAGGCCTGGATTTTCTCTCCTTTTCACCCCTTTCCTGACCTCCACCTTGAAAGGATAATTGAAACATTTTAGGAAAGAAGATCTCTATTTCATTGTGTCTTCCACAATTTGCATGGAGTTTTGTTTTTGCCATAAAGATACTTTGATGAACAATCTCTGAAATTTGCCTTAAACTGTAATAAATAAATCTCTAAATTTTCATAGTTATGTCATAAAATTAAATTCTTTAAAAATGAATACAACATTGGAGAGACTCCAAAACCTTTTCTGATGGAAGATTTAGAATGGTTTTGATCCTAAAGTAACCTCCATATTCCTCATTCATTAAACATTTGTTGAACATCTACTCTGCCGCCGGTCACCATCTCTCTCCCACGTTGCTTGTCCTCTTAAAATCTGATTACTAAATTAGAAACGCGAAAGCCTGCAGAAATTGTAGGTGTAGACCAGGGATTTAAAAAAAAAAAGTCCCTTAAACACAGCAAGAGAAAAAAATTAAAGTGTATCTTTAATATAGGAAAACAGAGCGAACCAACAGAAACCACAAAATGCTCCATCATAATAACAAGGTTGGTGATATGTGGCACGAGTGGTTCAAAGTACCATATTCGAAATCATATCTATTTAAAATAGAAAATTGGTGTTTCTCTGGGTTACTTTTCAGATGGTCTGGGAGCCCCCAAGCCTGGATTAACGATGGCTCTATGCCCCTCCCCCAGTTTCCCAGCACTGAGGTGGATTGATGTCATACTTGTTTACTGAGGAGTAAACAATGAAAGGAACTTCGTTAGGACCAAATCCGAGGTTAAGTTTGCATTAAACGCGGGCACCTCAACAGGTAGCATTTTACAAATGTCTCCCTCCTACCTACTCTGCAGCTTCTCCCTTAGAGAATTCCTCATTTTTCGGTTCAGGAAGATGTTGGAGATCCTGAAGAGGGTCTGTGTCGTCAGAGCAGCTGCAATTGTTTATGCGAGATGAACATAGCCCCAGCGCTCATAGAACAAAAGCTCCGAGGTGCGGCGTGCTCACGTCCAGCTCAACCTGCACTCAAAGGCAGCATTTCAACCCGAGGCAAAGAAGGTGTAAACGTACACGTAGAGGCAGCAGACGCCCTGATTCCTACGTTGCAGCCGCTACTATTACGCTGGCGGCTGCTCCTCCTTCAATACAGCAATCGGGTCTGCGTGTGAACAGGGGCACTCGTCCTGCCACCTCCCCCATCCTTTCTTGGACCCATCCATCTAGCCATCCATCCAGGGTCCAGCGGGTCCTATCGTGCGCCAGGCTCTGAGCTGAGCACTCAACCCAATCCACAGTTCACAGGGTTCCCTCCCTTCCCCACTTCCCGGGTGGGTGCGGCTGGTGGGCGGGGGTGGGTATTTCACTGCCCAAAGGTCCAGAAAACCCAAACCCAGAATCTGGGTAAGCCGCAGAGAGGAAGACTGCCGGACTTGGGCGGTCCGGGAGCGCGCGTCTCCGAGGCCGCGCAGGGTCCCCCAGTCTGGTGCTCAGGTGGCTCCGCCGCCCACTTCGGCGCTCCCCTCCCCTTTCCAGCTAGGGGCGAGTTTGGCTGTTGCGCGCGGGGAAGGAGGGGCTACGAGGGATTTGAAAGTGCACAGGCTGCGGAGTGGAGCTCGCATCTGTTCCCGCCGCCCGCGACCGGATTAAATTTCTGCAAATTCAAACTGAATGGGGCTTTCTTCTACTGCCTTCCAGAGGGCGCTTGCAGCCCGCCGCGAGTTCCTCTCGGGCGGGAGCGTCTGCCCAGCGCACGGCTAGGAGCAAACCAGCCGGACCCGAGCCTGTGAGGGCCAGACGGCTGCTGCTAGGGCGGAGGCGGAGGCGGCGCCCGGGCTCCGGGACCCAGCCACCGACCGCACCTCTTCCCGGGCGTGCAGATCCCTGCGAACCCGAGTAGGGGGACTGTCATCAACCCCCTGGACGGTATCGGGGGCGGGATCGCGGGTCCTGAAAGGAGCCCGGGCGACCCTCGGAGGAAGAACTTCTTGGGGGCGGGTCCCGGATCGCCCCGTCGCCTGGGCGGCCGCTATTGTCTGCGCGCTGCTCTCGGTGGCGCTGGGGGCGTGAGCGCGGCGGCCCCAGGAGCTGGGCACCGAGACCCGGGCCGGGCGGGGCCGTGGTTGGGGTGGCGGCGGGAGGAGCTGGGGCAGCTTGGGAGCCGGAGAAGGAGGAGCTGCACGCGCGGGAGCCTAGTCCGAGCGGCGCGGGCTGCGGGCAGGCGGGATGCCGGCGGCGGCGGGAGATGGGCTCCTGGGCGAGCCGGCGGCGCCGGGTAGTGGCGGCGGCGCGGAGGAGGCGGCCAGGCCGGCGGCGGCCTGTGAGGGAAGTTTCCTGCCGGCCTGGGTGAGCGGCGTGCCCCGCGAGCGGCTCCGCGACTTCCAGCACCACAAACGCGTGGGCAACTACCTCATCGGCAGCAGGAAGCTGGGCGAGGGCTCCTTCGCCAAGGTGCGCGAGGGGCTGCACGTGCTGACCGGAGAGAAGGTGAGCTTCCTGGGCGCCGGCCTCTGGCCCGCGGGTTACGGGCTCCGGGAGGGAGCGGACAGCCGGACCCTGCAGAGAGCATGGCACCGGGAGTACCAAAGCATCGTCCCGGGCCAGGCGCCCCCCAGTCCACCTGGCTTTTCTCTCTGGCCAAAAGAGGGGTCGAGCTAAACGCGCACTCAGCCCTCTCCGTAGGAGGTCATCTGGCACCCACTGATGGGTGGTCTGGGGTCATTTTCCTGGGGCGGGGTGGGGGGTGGCGACCGACTCACCGCGAAGTGGTCCCACGTATCCTTTTTGCTTTTCGAAAGGCGCCACCTGGCGGACACCAGAGCAGGAGGGTCAGGGCGCAGGAGTTCGGGGACTCTGCGCTCTCTGTGGGTAGGGGAGACAGATCCTTCGAGAGGCAAGAATAAGAGATAGAGGACCTGACTCTTACGTGCGAGGCGGAAGGGCCGATATAGCCCGCCTTAGGGGTGGCTTAAGGTTTGATCCCTTTCTAGGCTCTGGGGAGGAGCTGGGGAAAGGCTGAAACCCTACAGATATTCCTCTTCACCTCTGGGCTGGGGCAGCTAGGGGATTTTTGTGCACAGAAGATTTCACATACCCTCCCTACACTCCACCAGTCTGTTCCTCAACCTGCATTTCTCTCCATTTGCCCCTCCCACATCTGCATCCCATGAGCACCAGCCAATGCTCACCCCTACCACTTTCTCCCCTCCCCCCCATCCCTGGATCCCTCCCATCCCTGGGTGGCAGCTTTCTTGCAGACCCTGCTTCTTGCAGGTATAGATCCACACAGACATCCCCCAGACTTTAGAGGTTGGGAGTTGTGTTCTTATCTTTCTAGAAAAGGGGCAAGTAAAGGAAGCCCTCCTCAAGACACGGAGGGACACCTCTCTGGCCAAGTCAGAGTGGGATGAGGTGATCCCTTTCCAGGCCAGGTGTAACTTGAGAAGAAACCCTAGAGACCACTTAGTTTTGAGGCTGGGTCAACCCCGGCTGTGAGGCGTCCCAGGCACGGAGTTGTCCCAGACTTGGAGCTATTCCAGGCTGCTCAGCTTATAGTCATCTAAGACTCAAGATTCCCCCCAGGCTGGGACTTGCTCACACTAAAGGGGAGCAGCCCCTCTTGGAGGGAGGAGGGAAGCTCAGGGCTTCCTAACTGGGCAAGTAGCCAGAGAGCCAAACCCTTCTGGCCTCAGAAGTGGATCCTCCATCCAGACTGCTGTGAACCTGGTGGCCAGGCAAGCTGCCCTGCCTGCCTTCCTGCCCCAGCCGCTCCTCACCTTTAGTTCGCCTCCCTATTCCCCACCTTGTCCTGGAGCCCCTTGCATTTGAGTGCACACCCCCATCATCCTTGTAAATTGTCGTTTATTTCTGTAGCCATTTCAATTGGGGGACCCCTTTATTTTGGGTGAGTGGGGTAAGAATGAGGAGTTTTAAAAGGTGCTTCTGGACTTCTATGCTAATGTGAGGATCCAGTATGAACTCACTACAGTAATCTTCAAAGAAAAAAATAAAAAAGCAAAACCAAAAAACCAAAGCCCTCCGAATTTCATTCTAGTCCAAAGGGAGCAAGGAACACCTTACTTCTTGGTTCGAGTGGGCTGTCCTCCTTACATATGGTGGGTCTGTTCAGGGCACATGGATGTCGCGCTAATTGGTGAGCTCACTTCTGTCCCTGTGTAAATGGGTGGTAGCATTTTATCTCATTTGGAACGTATAGGATTCTGTCTGGTCCTGATGTTTCCTCTCTAAATGTAGCAAAAAAAAAAAAAAAAAAAAAGAGGTGAGTCCCATGCAAACCAGGTAGTGGCAAACATTACGAGTTCACTTTGGGAGTACACTCATCTCCCTGCCCTGCCCGCAGCTTCCCTGGCTACTCTCCACTTTCCCTTGTTGGGCTGTGCCTCTGCTCCTCACCGGTACATTTTTGCTTCATAACATAAAGCTCTTGGCCTTGCTGAAGTGCCTGGGGATGTATTCAGAGCTCAGCCGCTACTCTGCTACTCACTACTCTGCTACTCGGAGTGATTGGGTTCTGGAGCCCGTTGCTGGGCCCCCTGGAATGCAGGGAATTACGGCCCAAATGAGTTCCAAATGAGGAGCTGGGTGACACCCCTAGTGTTCCGCTCCTCCCCCTCCCATTTTATCTTTCTTAATTGATGATTCTCACTTCATCTTTGCAATGAGAGGAGGTATTAATTGGATGTGAAATTATTTCCCTGGACCAATTGATTTGATCTAGTTAAGGACAGTGGTTCCTAGTGGGGAGGCAGAGGCCAGGGAGGGATGTTCATGTTGAAAAACTTGGTTTTCCAGCTCTGTTTCTCTCCAGCGTGAGAACCAGTGCTTCTGTGGCTGTAAGCAAGCATTAGGAGAAATCTGGATTTTAGTACACTCTGTTGTTGGCTTTAAAGAAACAATGGTGTCATTCATAGCATTTATCTCCCAAATTCAGCACCTTTAATGCTTAACTAATAGATGTGGAGTTTAGCAGATTGTAGAGATTAAAATGTGTGGTGGTTTTGTGTGTGTGTGTGTGTGTGTGTGTGTGGGCACAGAGCTCTTGCATGCATGACTCTGCTTGGGAAGGATCACAGAGTTAATGAGTCTCCATTCCCACTCTTGTTTTGGGTATTGCCTTACTAAGTTCCGACCAAAACAAAGGTGAAAGCAACCTCAGGCTATTTGCAACCACAAGTCCTTTTTAGAAGGAGCAGGCTTCAGCTGGGAAGCTGTACTAAAGGGAGCAGATCAATCAATCAGTGGCAGACCTTGATATGAAGGGAACCTGGAAGGCAACCCCCTTCCCCTACTTTTTCCTCCTTTCTTGGGGTGCATACTTTTTAGATAAAGTACTTTTCTCCTTTTCTGGGGGGGAGGGGTACCAGGGATTGAACTCAGGGGCACTCAACCATTGAGGCACATCCCCAGCTCTATTTTGTATTTTATTTAGAGACAGGGTCTCACTGAGTTGCTTGGCTTGGGAGGCTGGCTTTGAACACGCGATCCTCCTGCCTCAGCCTCTGAGCCGCTGGGATTACAGGCATGCGCCACGGTGCCTGGCTTCTACTTCTTTTTTAAAGGAAACAGCCTATATGGAAAGGGAAATGAAATCATGAACATGATTTAGAAATAGATGTATCCTGCTCACCCACCCCGAATGGAAGGATTCAGGGCAGGTTATCTTGGAAAATCAGTTCATGAAACAGGATAGGGAAAGAGAAGATGAGGGGGTGCCCTGGGTTTCTCCTGTTTCGTAGCTATGATCTCAAACTGTGTACTTTGTGTTGGGTGATTTCTGCCCAAATCTGGAGTACTGGTGGTCGAAGGCATCTGGGGAGGTGGTGATGGTGGTGATGTTTGTGTGCCTTTTCAGTGTGAAGCACATTTCCAAAACGCTGTGAGTGAAATTCTCTGTGTTTTGCCTGGAATTACTGTGAGTCTGGATGACAAAGGAACCACTTTTTCCTGCCTTTCTTTGAGGCTTTGATCCTATCTTATGCAGAGGCCTCTGTTGCTACTGGTGCTTGCAGGACAGTCTTTTACCTGCTCTGTCCTCTGAAGTTTGGAAGTAATTTGAATCTAGATGGCCCTTTGACTGCTTGAAAACAAAGGATGGCTTTAGGCTGAGACCTGATTGTGCCCCCTCTGGTTCTGAGTTAATGTAACCTCTGTAAAATCTGGCTTTAAAAATGAAAATTCGCTGGATCCTATGAAATTGTTAATTGGTCCATTCTCATTCAGGGCTGAACTGAGTTGATGTTTAGATCAGGAAAATGATCATAGAATTAGATTCTGAAAAGTATCTCAATGACTTTGAGACAGAGAACCAAGTTGCAGAGCAGGAGCTTGGAGTGAGGACTTGGGAAATCCCGGAGCACGTGTGCTTCCTGCCCCTGGTATTGGTAACTGACACCTAATGCACAGTCTCTGGCCCATAATAGATTATTATTACATTTGAAAAAATTGATAAAATATAGCTAGACAAGCATTATTGAGCAAAGTGTAAATGTGTATCGAGAGTAGAGCTGATTTGAAAGGCAGGCAAACTCATTATAAGGGCAATCAGAGTCACCCATTACCTTCTTTTGAGATTAAGAGACAAAATTGGGTACATAATGACTGCTTAGGATGTTTAAATATCTTGTTCCAACCTTTGGTTAAAGAAAAAGAAAAGCCTGTTTATCACTTCGTTATCTATTTGGGGCTAAAAATAAGGATTGCGCGCTTAGTAAGTTGCCAATAATCAGCATAGAGCATGACAGTGACAGATACCTGGAGTGAAGGAGTTACTAAAAATACAATTTACTATGTTTTGCAGAGCAGGAAATATGACTAATTTTAGAGTTGGCCTTTTGGCAGATCTCTTTTTAGCAAGTATTTCTGAAACAAACAGGTGTTAAACCCTGTATTTCTTTTTAAGTGCTAGAAATTTAAGGGGTAATAGCTCTGGGAACAAGAAATGCTTAGAGAACTGGAAATTCCTATTAATCCTCAGCAGGGACTTCTTGGCAAGAAGGAGGCGTTTGCAAAAGCACCTGCTCAGTGTGTCCTGGGTGACAAGGCAGTGCCTATAATTTCCCAGATTGCATGCTGCAGTTGCGGGCACATTCTTTTGAACTTTCTGCCTGCCTCATCTTTTTGAAGTACTTGGGAATGGTGGAAATTGGCACATAGAGCTGGGTTCCTAGTGTTCATTGATACAGGTCCCAGGGACTTCAAAGGGTGCTTCGAGTCAGCGTAACAGTGCAGAACGGTGCCCACGAAGAGGAGTACAACCCTACATTTTCTCTGCAGGAGTTGGTTCCCGTACCTAACAATCAGACTCGGGTCTGCAAGAATAGAGAATTGTGCATGCTGCCCATTGTCCCTGAGCAGCGTGGCAATCATCCATCCCAGAGCTTACCCTCCCAGGAGGGGTTGGGAGTGGCCAGACATGCCCACCCAAAGACATGGGCAGGCTGAGTGTTCTCTGTAGGAAGGCAGTTTGG